TTAGCCACAGAATAGACTATGATGGGATAGGGGTTCTGAAAGGCCAACGGCAGATGCCCCACAAAAATTGACCCAAGCAACCTCTCAATTTATCTTATATTTTTTCTTCTACGGGTGGTTTTGGCGTTACCATCATGAGAGCCTGCCCCGAAATAGATCAGCCACAGATACGGAAATCAGCTAAAATAATACTAATCTGGCCAAGACAACGAAACTCCTGTTATCCAGTGGGCTTCAGTTTGTTGTTGCTATGGCACTTCCGAACAGGATTCGTGATGTTGCTTGCATCAGGTTCCAATCCACCGCATATCAGTGCAATAAAATGCCGCTTCAGAACAGCTAACAATAGTGTGGCTGACTTCGCTGTGTATTTTCACCGCTGGCTCAGTTGTTGCTTTTCGGAATGTTCTATAGTTCCCCGGTCACATGCTCAGCTCATGTTTGTTCCTTCATTCGTGACTTTGGTTCTTCTTCTCCCCCTCGCCTTGTGTCGATACATCAACCTATTCATTTCTATCGAGTCTTCTTCATCTTGGGTCATAATTTTTTTCCTAGATAGTAAGTTATATTCTCAAAATGTTAACTGTAGGATTTCTAATTTACACCTATGGGCGGCCGTCACCGCCAAAAATACAAAAATATAATTGGTTGGTAATTAGTCTTATTGTCTTTTGGAGAACGCTTGATCTTATCTTAAGAGATTTATTTCAAATACAAATGGACAAGTCGCCTTTGGTGAAATGAAATATTCAAACAAAAATGTTTATACAATTCAAGAGCTGTGTAGCCAACCTTGTTGAACTGATTCAAGAAAAACACGAGTGGCCAAGTGTTAACTGAAATGGTTCAGTGTCGAAATGAGAAACGGTTCAGCTAACTGTACTTTAGTGACTTGACACAAACGGTTCAGAGTAGTGTGAAATGGCTTAAGTTATCGGCAAATGGTTAATCGTAGGCCGCAATGGTTTAGTATCGAATCAATCTCCTCACCGTAAAGTAAAATGGTTTAGCGTGACCTCAAATGTTTTAGCGTGACGACAAATGGTTTAGTACAAACCGAGATGGTTTAGCGTTACAACAGTTAGTTTACGCCGTAACCGCCAAAAATACAAAAGGGAAATAGGTAAGTCAAGCTTGAAATGAAACAGTCTATGTGGGGTCTGACGTCACACTCTACGTCATTCAGATCCAATTTGGCGCGAAATTCGCCAGAAGGAGGCATTCGCCAGGCCGTCCAATCGACGTTCACCACAGGAAAAAATTATTTCTGTAGCCTCGTCGTCCTTGTCCACTGGACTCAAAGAGCCTCACTCCGGTAACAACTTTTTTCACATTTGTCTATTTTAACTTGTTAGCGAATAAATTTATACCCTCATCATCTTGCCGCAATATCAGTAAGTAAATGATATTTCGGAACAAAAGGAATAACAAAATATACAGATAAAATGCATCATTTTACGCGACAGCACATTTACCGTCTAGACAGTAAGAACCAAAGCTGGGAAACGTGATAAAGCGATTCATTGTTTTAAGACGACGAAACTACAACTAAAGGGCGCCTAAAAACTATATGGTTTTTATAGTTTTGAGGCGCCATTGAGATTCTTATCCTATCCAATTTCAAGCTTGACTTTTCCATTTCACTTTTGTATTTTTGGCGGTTACGGCGTAAACCAACTGCACCAACCGCTGCAACGCGAAACCATTTCGGTTTGTACGAAACCATTTGTCGTCACGCTAAACCATTTGGGGTCACGCTAAACCATTTGGGGTCACGCTAAACCATTTCACTTTACGGTGAGTAGATTGATGGGATACTAAACCATTGCGGCTACGATTAACCATTTGCCGATAACCTAGGCCATTTCACACCACTCTGAACCGTTTTTGTCAAGTTACTGAACCAAAGTACAGTTAGCTGAACCGTTTGTCATTTCGACACTGAACCATTTCAGTTAACACTTGGCCACTCATGTTTTTATTGAATCAGTTCAACAAGGGTGGCTACACAGCTCCTCAATTGTATAAACCATTTTTTGTTTGAATATTTCATTTCACCAAATGCGACTTGTCCATTTGTATTTTAAATAAATCTCTTAGGATAAGATAAATCGTTCAATAAGACAATTAGACTCTATCTGTTATTACAAACCAATTCTATTTTTGTATTTTTTTATGATGACAGCCGCCCATATGTGGGCTCTTCTTTCAAATTCAGTCGGAGAATTTCCGGCTTCAAGCTTGCACAGATTTATGGGCCAAGGAACTCCCTGTTTCATTTTCACAACGCGCCGTTGCAATTCTCCGTTTCATGACATAGCTTTCGAGTCTTTCTTAGTACTTTCTCTGTCTTAGTGACTTTGAAACATTTTGATCACGGACTGAGGAAGCAAGGTCGTAAAATAGTCAAAGGTGCCTTCCGTTTCCGCGACAGAGGTAAGAACGCATTGTTGTATCAGATTATTGAGTGTAAGGTAAATACTTTTATTTTAATTTTTTTTTAGTTGAGATTTCCTCCTTCAAATGTTCCTCATCTTTCCGAACTTTCTCTGATTTCCGACAATGAAAGACGTTCCTGCAGTTAGTGTATGACGACGATTGCCAACTTTTACTTTATTCTGGCGTGTATTAATTGTATTGCCGCTTCGTGTTAGTTACAAGCTTATTAAGCTGAGCTTGTTTGAACAAGTTACAGCTGTCGAATTCACAAAAATTCGCAGGCAATGCTTGGCATTTACCTTGGACAAAATAAGTAATTCGGGAGAGTTACAAAGGATATCCAAATTATCGATTTGATTCAGTAAAAGCCCTTTTGGTCGCAACACTTTCAGTTTCGTTTGCGTGTCATGCGGAGCATGTACACAATCGTGTTTGGCACCAGCTTTCATGTCGGGCTTATGTACGTATTAACTTAATTTGCTCCCGTATTTACGATGCATTTGATCAAAAAGCGATAAACATTTTCAGCGTATTTCATGTGTTTATGTTTATCATTTTATACTGTAGTTTAAAAGTGATTTTTTCTTTTCGATAGACAGCTTAGATTGTCCTTCCAAACTGTACTGTTATACTGATTTCCTTGTTAAATATTGAGACAAGTTGATTTTTCTTCAAATTCAGCTAGTTATTTACTGCAAGAGTCCTTTCAATTAACTGCATTCGAGTTTTAGGAATCCAATTCATCAACTGGTGATGATTGTTTAGTGTCTGAGTGAAGTTTTACCTTTTGTCATCTGCTAATCAACATACGATCAATCGATAATCATATCAACTGAATGTTTCCGATCAATTTTTTTTTTTTTTTTTATCAAAACTGGTTTAGTTCTGCATGAGGCTGCATGCATCCAAGTATGTGTTTGTTGATAATTTATGTTGTTATATGGGAAGGTAGTCTTGGGATAAATGTAAAGTTCTGATTGGTTCTTACTTGGTCAGGATTTTGCCACATAGACCATCATTGCACCATACAGAAAATCATAAAACATGTAAATTCATTGTAAACTAGTTTTTTCCAAGTGACATTGGTGCATGACAATTACCTTGCTCTCGTGAGGGGTTCTGGGGAATATTGGCACCATGTCATTCCTTTTCTGTTACAACCTTGGGCCAATATACCTCTGTAAAGCCCTGGCAATCAGCTGGTTATATAGAAGTTTGTAGTGGTTTTTGTAAAAGCGATATACACTTACAGGCTATTTTGAATTCCAGTTCAATTGACTTCCTTGCTACTCCACATTTATTAAATTTTTTTGTACATGAAGACAGCCAGCAAAGATTATTTGATATTTAAAAAACAACCAGTCATGATTATTAGGAGAATTAAAGTTAGCATCAAAGAAAAATTAATTTTGTGCACAGACAATGTAAATATGGAATAACTGCAAAAACAATTAGTTAAATATACATATACTAATAAAGCAAAAATGTCAGCACCTGTACCAAATTGAAATCCATTTCAACATACATCAGCCTGCATAAATGAAAATATTTCACTGTTTTTCCTATGATAAAGTGAAACAGTTGAACTAACAATCACCTATACAAATATGGGCATCAGCTCAACTGTAGGAAATTGAATAAATGAAATACATCTTTTATAAGTTTTGACCACCAATCCCTATTTAAAAATCAAATAAGAAAATTTTACTTTGGTGTTGTAAAATTTGTTTCTTATGAGAAACAATTCAGCATAAACTCTCTCCTCTTGCGGATTAGTTGATTAGTTGATTAGTGAGGTGGATGCACGGTCAAGAGGTCTGCATTTGTAGCCTGGCCTGTGCTGGACTCAGGGTCAAAAGTCTGGGTTCCAGTCAATGTTTTGTGTTCTTGTGCAAAACACTTTACTCTTACAGTGTCTGTCTCCACCCAGGAGTATAAATGGGTAGCAAAAATTAGTTAGGGAAACCTGATAAAATGCAAGGAGGGTGAAAGGGGGGGGGGGGGAGATGACAGTGGAATGGACTTGCATCCTGTCCAGGGTTGGGTAGTAATACTCCCAGTTGCTTCATGTAAGGAAACCAGGATTAAGTAAAGCTCAGGCCCTGGACGGGCCACTTTTCAAATCCAGATGTGACCTAACTACCTACCACCTCTTAGTTTAAATGATTTAAATTGCTACTGTTACAAATTATATAAACTTGAAACACACAGATGTTGATTTTTGCCCAATTTATTTCAATCAATTGCATAGGAATGTCTTTGGTAAATCTTGAAATTTATTGTAATGAGAAGTGAATTACTGTTTATTTAAATATTAATACTTGTTTTCTTCAGTATATATATATCTTTTGTTCTTTTACTGCTTTAAATATGCTATTAATATTAATTGTTTGTGATTTTGTGTCTATGTATCCCTCCCATTCTCAGGAGGGAAAAAATATTTAGTTTACAATTGGGTAATATGTTGAGCTAATTTTTTACCATTTGCAACCATCTTTTTTTTCAGGCCAGGATGACTTAAAACAGCAACTTTTTGAAAGAAGCATCCCCTTACAGTTGCTATGGCTAAAGAAAGAAGTCCAATTAAGGTTCCATCTGAAAATGAAGACTTACCTGACAAAGAAAATGCTCCAGATTTTGATGAGGACAATTTACGAGGTGAGCTAGGTTCAACTTTGGCTTCAGTCACTGTTAAAACATTTTCTATTCCACCAGTTTCAAGAATGTAAGCAGATGTGGAGAATGATATTAATACACTGCATGACAACCTTAAATGATGTTTGGCCAGTCATGACTCTCTTCTATGATTACAATAATTATGTAGTTTATTGACTGAGAGGATCTATGACATATTTGTTATTTTCTTTTCTCAAATTTCAAAGCAAGTACACAAAGTTATAATAAGTAAAGACTTTATTTGATCATCATATAACATTCATTTTGTAAGTTTGCATCATAAGTACCATCATCATCATCATCTTTCCATTATAATATGCCACATTAAATTGAAAGTTTCAACTTCCCCTTAGCAACCAATTTCCAGTAGAGTGCAAGTGTTATATCATTGAATATGGAGGTGTTTAACCCTTGACACCCTAACATCAGTATCCATATTCTATTCTTTGTATGTTTCTTGTGGTACTGAAAAAGAGAATTCATTTGAAGATCAATGCTTCTTAGGTTGGTGATCATTTCCTTTATTCTCATGAGCTTAGTGAATGATTCAGCAGTATTACTCCAAGCTTTTCAGGGGATGGGTCAAGTCAGGCAGTTGCAAAAGTGGCAGCTGGCACTAAAGGAAAAATCTGCAGATTTTAAATCTCCAGATCTTGGCAGCTCTGCTTATGCACTAATTAACTACAACCACAGGTAATTATTAACTACAACCACAGACTTTGACACAAATTATTTTTTATTTTTTCTTTGCAGCCATAGCTGATGTTTATAGAAATGAGGGTAATGAGGCCTTCAAGAAAGGAGATTTCATCAATGCTATTCATTTTTACACCAAAGGAATTAAAATGAACTGCAATGAGAAAGAACTGAAGGCCAAACTGCACAACAACAGGGCTATTGCACATTCTAAACTTGGTAAGATGATGATATCCATTTTTTTCTATTTTGAAGCTATTGAGTTGTCAGTAGTAGTTTTCTGAAAAAGGTGATAATTTTGAATGCATGCCTGGAAAAATTTACATCTTATGTTGGCCTCTCAAATATACAAAGAAGTAACCTCTTACCCCAGATATCAATGAGCATCACAAGTTTTTTTCCCAAAATTATAGTAATGGTAGTTGGTTTGCAACATGTATGGCTAATCAGAGATATTTATTTCAATAACAGGAAATCACCAGGATTCACTAAGGGATGCAGAAGCAGCCATTGAGTTAAATCCAGCTTTCCTTATGGCAATTGTGAGAGGTTAGATATGTCAGCTGTGCTATAATAATAATAATAACAAAAGAACTCAACACTCTAAGGTTAAATGAGGTTAAATGGAGTTCAATATTGTCTCAATTGACTTTAATTAAGAGGTCGAGACCACCCTGATGTACATTTGAATCCAGCTCTTGACTGCTACGCCAGTACTTTCCATTAATCATGATAAGAATATTATTTTGAACGGGATGAAGAACTCAATGCGGAATGCAAAGCAAAATTTCAGCATGAATATTTTAGTTCCTTAAGTCCAATGAGTGACAGGTGTCAGATATGTTAAGAGCGTGTCCACGAGAGCACCGGGCAGTCGTGCTACAAGCCATCTCACCGATTTCAATGAAACTTTGGCAGTTTAAAGGGTCTACCCCAAAACTCAAAGAGACAAACTGGTTTCTGTTTTGGTTCTTCCGGGGAGATAGACCACACCGGTTTTTTTCTTGGTTTTCACCAAGGAAATCGCTTCAAATAGGTAAAATGTATGAAGCTCTCACGGCGATGGTCTTTAACCGATTACTTTGAGGATTTGCACACATATTTTTACATCCTTAGTTAATGTCTGCTGCGAGTATCATTCAGTTTGATTGACGGCTTGTCAATCAATAGAGGCAAATATACGACTTTGGTTTTAGACTTTTCGATTCATCCAAATATTTGACAACTTTGAGGTCAAATATCTCCCGTTTGCCAGAAAGCTACAACACTATTCCTAATACCCCTTTATAACCCATTATTTCATCTCTGAAAATCATCAAAAAATCTTTGGGCACTACCGTATTTTTGTCTTGGATACCTTTTAAAATCTGCGACTGTGACAAGTTTCTCTTAACTATACCTGTCACACAATTTTTGCTCTAGGCGGTCACTTGACAAAATAAACCTACATTTTTTAGCTCTTTATACAAGATGATAGATCAAGAAAGGTGAAAAATGTGAAATACTTTCGAGATTTTTTGTAGGATTGGAAAATTTCACGTTTAGAGAGATGCATGTAAACGAAAAATCAATGGGAAAATCGTAGCGTTTCTTTCTTCAGTCGTTTATTACTTTATTACTTTTTATTACAACTTCGGCTTTTACAGACGAGAAATTCTGCGCTCTCGCTCGAGAGCAAATATCAATACTTCTATCAGACTAAAAACTGTGCCTCTATCCCGAAAAAAAAATTAAAATAGTGTTGTCGTTGTCACTTACCGCCATCAAACATTTCCATGCAGAACTCCGCTAAGCTAACATCTGTTGTGTGACCCGAAGACTCTTAGTAGGAATTATTCAAGCGCGTTGTTCATGCTGTCTGCTAGATAACAATTTCAGAATAATCTGCAGATCTCTATGATTATTTGCCTGCTTCGATCGTAAAATATCTGCATATTTTTTTCAAGCATTCTATTACTACACATAAATCTTCATCTCTCTAGATCGAGTGTTGCCGGCGTTTAATTGCGTGACTTGTAAAATTTTTAAATGAGAATCTGAGCCAGCGGTAATTTGACGAGTAGCCTTCCTGCAAATTTGCCTTGATGAAATCCCAAGACATAGCCAGTTGTTTTCGTGAGCAAAGACAATAAATATGAGAGGAAAGTGAGATGCAAATGTCTTCTTTTTTTTAGCTTAATATCAGCTTTACCTTCGTCTAAATTTTGCAAGGTCTCTCCTTATCTTCTGCCTTGTTCGGTCAGTTTCGAATTCTGAAGCTAGATCATTGGCATCGGCCTCTCCGTCCTTATTCATATTTACAGAGGGGGACCTTATCAATAAAACAATTTTTGTTACGGCAGATAACCGGCTGAAGTATCGAGCGATTTGCTGCTGTAAGACCGGTCAGTCTTAGACAACATTTCTGGCTGGTGTCGTCTCTTAAACTCGATATTTGGGAAATCACATTAGAGGCGGTTGCCTTACTAGTTTCCTCCCTTGTCCAGCACACTAGATCTCTAGGAGATAATTCTCTGCTTTCTGAGAAAAGGTGGCTGTTTTTTGTGTTTTCCAATGAGCCCATCCAAAGTCCTCTTGGCTAGTTAGGGGTTGTTCGTCAGAATTTTTACCTGAGGTCCGACCTGAAATGTAGCCATCCCCTATAGAATGGCAAGCCGGTCTTAGTCCATTTCCTCTTGATCTTATCCTAGGCGGAATTTTTTTCTCGGCTTCACTGTGTTTGTCTTTGTCAGGATACATCCTTCTTTTAGCAAGAATATCTGGCTTTCTTGTTCCGTCTATGACGGATTGGGTAGAGTTCTCGCGATGACCCGCGTTCAGAAATCTGTGCACGTTGCTGATAAGCACCCGCTTCTACGACTAGTTTGCTGAAAGTTTCTAATGTGATGAGCCTAGTGAGATCCTGAGGTGCTTCAAACTGTGCCAGTTGGTCTGCGCTATAAACTTGTCGAAGTTCTTAAGTCAGAGGGACGATCGCCCACCTCTATCTATGTGAGCGCTTCTACAATACCTGCGTATCCCTAGCAATCATATGATATAAAGTTCATCTCAGTCACAAATCACCAGTTAGGAAAACTGATATTCAGATAAGCGCTCTTCTTGCCCTTCTCCTTATTCATTGTCGACTCTAAGATAGCAGCTACAGTACGCGTTCTATTTAGGTTTACAGTCACCTTGCCGCCACCAGAAAGACTCGCCACCAGCTTTGATTTCTTCTGCCATCTGCAGATTCATCTCTCTCTCACTTTCTGTCTCCGATTTTTATGAGGAGGATACTGGCATTTACGAACCCGAAGGTCTGAATCTCACACCAAGTTGTGCACGATATATGAGGTACATCGTGAAATTGCGGCCTTCGTAATCTCCAAATAAGCCAATACGCGCTTGAATAAGCTTCATCTCGGATGAAACGCATGTTTGGGATACATCGACGTCTCTCAAATGTTTTTTTTTTTAAGCTGTATACCCACAAATTTAGAGGTGTGAGCTGTTGCCGTCCCTGGCCAGCGCGAGAAAAGTAACATTTGGTTGTACATTTTGTTGCAAATGAAGAAGACAACTGCACCATCTTGACTTTATCAATTCGAGTGTTAGATTGAATTGAAGGCTTTTTAGACACTCGATTTCTTATATGGCATCACTATGAAGACGTAATACAACTGATGCAACTACACTACATAGGATTAACAATGTCTGTTGCGCTGTTGCGAGAAGGAGGAAAATATTACCGGAAGTGTACGCTCTTTTAAAAAAGAGTTTCAGAGATGTCTATCTTTGATCGGCTGTCACAAAAAAATGACCCCACTTAAATTTTCTAGGAAAAATGAACTTACCAAATCCTTGAAAAAATTGGAATTCATTTGACCGATACGCCGGTTGTTTCAATTTTTTTTTTTCCTCGGGCTGCTATGAAACAGTTCATAAGTGACTCATGAATAAAGTGTTTTGAAATACCGTTCGGGATTTGCCTTTTTTTTTTTCTGCGTGCAAATCAAGGGTAGACAAAGTTTTTTAAAACATTTGACTAAAATTTCATGGAGTTCACCTCGATAATTTTCGTCGGCCAGAGTCAAGACGCGCCAAGCTAAGCGAGATCGCCCTCCAGTAAAACAATTTTCCAAAGAATAAACGTGGCGAGCGTGAGGAAACGCACATTTTTTTCATCATTGTGATCAAAGTCCAATGATGTACCTAAATTGGTACTTACGGTGTCAAACCATTGATTATGACAGGGTGAGCTTAGTTTTTCTGTCGAGGTCGACGTGACTTCACATTAAAAGCATTTTTGACGGAACAAACTAGTGATCATCACTGCACGAACCGAGAAAGTAAAAACTTGTATTTATCTCCAACGCGTTTCGTCTGACAATAGTAGACTTCATCAAGGATTTTTTCAAGCAGGGTAAATAAGCTTCCTCATATACAAATAGTAAATAAGTTATCTCTTTACTATTGAAGTCAGTGGATAGAATACGCCAGGTGCGCCTACGGTGTTATACATGCGTGACATTTTCCTGACGTTACATGTACCTTGGCATGTAGCTTGTGAGGCGTGAGTGGCCCAGTGGTCAGAGCGCTGGACTCTGGGTCGGACGGCCCGGGTTCGAGTCCTGGATGGGGCACTACGTTGTGGCCTTAAGCAAGTCGCTTCACTCACCTTGCTTCGTCTTCTCGGATAAGACGTTAAGCCGGAGGTCCCGTCTCCTGCAGGGTTTGGGGTAGGAGACGTTAATTTCCCACGCACGAGATAACTGTGTGATGGATGTCCTCCCCTGGGTTGGGTTGGGTGGGTTTGTAACTTGTAAGGCGCATCTGATTATTCATATAGATATTTGCGCCGAATAAATTAAGGATGATGAAACATGTACGATCCGTTTAAGGGTCACAGATTTAGTGTAAATATTTCACTCCTCAACATCACCCAATGTCTCTAGTTTACAGAGGTCTTAGAACGTGTCATTATATGGAGTTGCCTTCTGCGGGTAGAAGACTACAAGCGAATTTCTCAGGCGTAATTGCCTTTGATTTCTCAATTGATGTTATCGCAAACACAGTTTTTGGGAGTCACGAGACAAAAAAACTTATCAGGGCCTAGTTTCATGTTCTAATAGAAATAAATAGCAAATAAAAACACATTTTCTTGAGAAATAAAGTCACAAATGACGGGGGTTCTCCGAAACAAATAATGATAAAAAAAGATTTCAGTTCTGGTCAATATTGACTTTTCATGGCCTACTTCCAAATCTGAGGGAACGTGCTGAGGGAATAAAAAAACATAAATGTGTGATAATGCAAGTAAAAGAATGAAAATACAAATAAAGAAAAGGGAGAAAACATAGGAACCCGTGTTGCAGCGTGCAGATATCTTTTGAACCAGACCTAGACACATAAGCCCGACACCGGCCAGAGAAACTCGAAAGAGTCCTGTATATGAACTAGCTCGCACGTGCACGCAGGAAAGGCCATGACAATCAGCGAAAATAATAGCAAATGCAGATGATATTTGCAGTCAATAAACAACAAAATAAGATAACAGAAGGATTAGGAACTTTTTAGAAGTGTCTTCTTGAAAAAAAAAAAAAACAAGCAATTTTTACTTCTCATAAAAGGTCACACAGTGACCCTACAAATACTATTCCTATACGTGGAATTTCTTGATGGTAGAAAGTGGAAAAAACATTTTCCACTCTTATTTTCTGGAAACACGGCGTAGTTAATGAATTTATGAGGCTATTGATATTTAACAAATAGAGAAGCCTTGACTGTGCTCTGTTCTGTTATAAAGCACGCAGGAAGCGGCTAGAGCACGAAAGAAGTGTAGGGAGAAACACGAGACGTAGTCGAGTGCTTCTTCCCACTTCTTGAGTGCTCTAGCCGCTTCCTAAGTGCTTTATAACAGAACAGAGCACAGTCAAGGCTTCTCTATTTGTTTTATAATAAAGAATCCGTTAAATTACCCAAGCATTACTTTCAATTTCCAAAACAAACTTTATTTCCAAAGCGAACAACAATGTCGTCAGCATGCTCTATACTCTCATAATGCACACTGCAATAAGCCAATTAGAATCCTTGTTAGAATGATTCAAATAATCTGATTGGCTGTACAAGACTAAAGCTGTCAAAAGTGTCAAACCATCAAAGTCCAAAAACCATCAAAGTTCACATTCTACGATAGTTTACAAACTAAAATAGTTCGGCAAGTCGAACTTGACAATTTTGCGTGAAGTTTTTGAGTCTCTAATACAGAATCTTGAAGTGAAATGTTCAGTGAACTTCAGCCGAATTATGGCTCATAAAAACACGCGAGTTTTTTCCACATGACAAGGCAGAAAACAAACTATTCAAGGCGAGTGTTTTTGAATGAACGACAGCCGAATTCACCGGAACATAAAGATCGCTCGTGATGACAGCGCCGCAAAACTCCGTTGCAGTGGCTGATGTGAATTGCTCTAGCTCAGCTCTATGCTCTATACTCTCATAGAGCACGCTCTTTCAACCAATGACAGCGTGCGTTATATGCGAACTTTATTATAATTCCTAACAAATAAAGGGGCAGAGTTTCCCGTCATTCGCGGTATGGAAAAGCCGAAGTTGTTACACTCGGAACTTGTACGTCAACAAGCAGGCGACATGTGACCTTAAAATCTCCTCTCCTGATTATAATGATAATAGACGATCAAAGTATAGGCTAATGAATGTTTTGTTCTGTACAAGAGCCCTATGTCCTGATTTTAGCAAATCTTCAAAGTAATAAACAAACTGAAGAAAGAAACGCTACGATTTTCCCATTGATTTTCCGTCAACATGCATCTCTCTAAACGTGAAATTTTCCATTCCTACAAATTATCTCGAAAGTTTTTCACATTTTTCACCTTTCTTGACCAATCATCTTGTATAAAGAGCTAAAAAATGTAGGTTTATTTTGTCAAGTGACCGCCTAGAGCAAGAATTACGTGACAGGTGTAGTTGAGAGAAACTTGTCACAGTCGCAGATTTTAAAAGGTATCCAAGACAAAAATACGGTAATGCCCAAAAATTTTTTGAGGATTTTCAGAGATGTAATGATGGGTTATTAAGGGTAATTAAGATTAGTGTTGTAGCTTTCTGGCAACGGGAGATATTTGACCTCAAAGTTGTCAAATATTTAGATGAATCGAAAAGTCTAAAAATACCATCGTATATTTGTCTCTGTTGATTGACAAGCCGTCGATCAAACTGACTGATACTCGCGGCAGCCATTAATTAAGGATGTTAAAATATGTGTGCAAATCTTTAAAGTAATCGGTTTAATACCATCGCAGTGAGAGCTTCATACATTTTACCTATTTCAAGCGATTTCCTTGGTGAAAACCAAGAAAAAAGCGGGGGTGGTCTATCTCCCCGGAAAGAAACAAAACAGAAATCAGTCTGTTTTCTGGAGTTTTGGGTTAGACCCTTTAAACTGACAAAGTTTCATTGAAATCGGTGAGATGGCATGTAGCACGACTGCCCGGTGCTCTCGTGGACACGCTCTGAAGTCACTATCTAGCTGTTTTAAAAAGAAGGATCAGGACTTACCTAACTTTTAGTGTTTTTGTGGCAGTTGTTGATCCCAATTTAAGTTTTCTTAGAAGTTTCAGTTGTCTGTAAAGCTAAATAAATCTAACTGAAACCTAACAGGGCCTGTTTATTCTTTTCCGTTTAGTTTTTTTGTATTGTTTTGTTTTGTCTTTTTTTTTTCTTCTGGTCTGTAATGATTTCAATGGTTTCAGGTTCTTTTCTCAGAATTGAGCTACAGTAATAGTATGCTTCTTTGTGTTGTTGCCTACAGGAGCCACTGCTTGTGTTGAATTGAAGAGATTTGAAGAAGCAATCACTTGGTGTGATAAGGGACTAGCTGTATCCTTTGAAGGAATCTTTCATTTTTAACCGTGGGTATAATGGAAATAGTTTCCATAATTTGATGTTTCAAGGGAGAAAATACAAAGAAGGGTATTAATTATGATGGGAACTTGTCAGCTCATATACTTTAAGTGTGTGTGATTAAAAACATAGGAGAAGTTATTACCTCATGACTTATTAATGAAATTACTCCTTTTAGCCAATTTGACTTAGTTCTACTATCCATGCCAATAACTGGTACATTAGTTTAAATAACCCTTTAATTTCCCAGACCAAATTTGTAATTATCCTTACTGTCAACAATACAATTCTTGTAATGTTAGTACAGAGAATTCAGTAATGCATCAACTAACTATTTTAAATTGATATTTTTTTTTTTACTCTCAACACTTATCTGATTGATGTTGTATTGCTATTGTAAGGAGAAATTCTCTTTTGGTCACTCACGGGAGTTAAAGGGTTAGAAGACTAATATTCATCCAGTTTATATACATAGTACTTGGGTAGATGATCTCTCTTAAACAAGCCAGAACAAAAAGCTCGGTAATGTTTACATATCTTATGCAGATTTTCTTGCCTTCGACCTTTTCCACTACTTAGAGACTCATAAACTTTCGTTGTGCTTTCCTATGGACAAATAACAATTTTAAAGACATGTATTTGTGTTATAGACTCATTTCTTCCACTGCTGTCAAACATTTGTCTGATGTTAAGGCTATATTAATTTAAAAATTGAACAAGTGCTGCTCAGTTTTTGGAAACTAGAGATTAAATGTAGATATTTCGCGTTAAAGTTTGAGGCAGACACAGAAAAAAATATTTTTGAAGTGTAGATTTACTTCATAACTGACTTTAGGACTGAATGTTGATAAATCATCCACCTTTCATGCAAAGCCCTCCTAATGGGCCATTTTATATTTGTGTACTTAGCTGCCAAGCCTTTGATTTGGAGTAAGGCTGAAGGTGACCTTGTTGTGATAGAGACCAGTATCTAGAAACGATAATAACAAAGTAGTTTGCATTTAAAAAGCAGCAATGTTTTTATCATAACAAGGTCACCCTTAATCATGGTTCTTGTTCAGAGGTTTGGGAACCAAGCACGCAAATGTTAAAATGGACTATTACATATCAATATGATCAGAAACATAATCTTTTTTGTTTTTCCATATTTTAACCCTTAACATAAAAAGATCAACAAAAACAATAGGATCTTGTTGTCATTAAGACTTCAGTCTGTCAGTGAAGTGGGAGATAAGTCCATGGAGGAAAAAGATCCTATTAGTCATGACCCGGGTAGTGCAAGTTCAGGTGATGTCAGGAAAGTCGTAGATCTCTATAATCAGGGAGAAGAAGCCATAGAGTACCACAACCTACATCTTAAAATAGCTAAAGAAGTAGGAGACAAGCATGGGGAGGGTTGTGCTCATGGCAATCTTCGCAATGCTTATGACCGTCTGGGAGATTTCAAAAAGGCATAGAGTACCACAACCTACATCTTAAAATAGCTAAAGAAGTAGGAGACAAGCATGGAGAGGGTGTTGCTTATGGCAATCTTGGCAATCCTTATCACCATTTGGGTGATTCCAAAAAAGCCATAGAGTACTACAACCTAAATCTTAAAATAGCTAAAGAAGTAGGAGACAAGCATGGGGAGGGTAACGCTTATGGCAATCTTGGCATTGCTTATCACCGTCTGGGTAATTTCAAAAAAGCCCTTGAGTACCACAACCTATATCTCAAAATAACTAAAGAAGTAGGAGACAAGCATGGGGAGGGTGGTGCCTATGGCAATTTTGGCAGTGCTTATTTTAGTCTGGGTGATTTCAAAAAAGCCATAAAGTACCACAACCTACATCTTAAAATAGCTAAAGAAGTAGGAGACAAGCATGCAGAGGGTGCTGCTTATGGCAATCTTGGCAATCCTTATTACCTTTTGGGTGATTCCGAAAAAGCCATAGAGTACTACAACCTAAATCTTAAAATAGCTAAAGAAGTAGGAGACAAGCATGGGAGGGTAACGCTTATGGCAATCTTGGCAATGCTTATCGCCGTCTGGGTAATTTCAAAAAAGCCCTTATACCACAACCTACATCTCAAAATAACTAAAGAAGTAGGAGACAAGCATGGGGAGGGTGGTGCCTATGGCAATTGTGGCAATGATTATTTTAGTCTGGTGATTTCAAAAAAGCCATAGAGTACCACAACCTACATCTTAAAATAGCTAAAGAAGTAGGAGACAAGCATGGGAGGGTGGTGCTTATGGCAATCTTGGCATGGCTTATCGCCGTCTTGCTGATTTCAAAAAGCCATAGAGTACTACGACCTACATCTTAAAATAGCTCAAGAAGTAGGAGACAAGCTTAGGGAGGGTAACGCTTATGGCAATCTTGGCAATGCTTATTTTAGTCTGGGTGATTTCAAAAAGCCATAGAGAACCACAACCTACATCTTGAAATAGCTAAAGAAGTAGAAGACAAGGATGGAGAGGGTATGGCTCATGGCAATCTTGGCAATGTTTATTACCGTCTGGGTGATTCCAAAAAAGCCATAGAGCACCACAACCAACATCTTAAAATAGCTAAAGAAGTAGGAGACAAGCATGGGGAGGGTAGTGCTTATGGCAATCTTGGCAATGCTTATGACTATCTGGGTGATTCCAAAAAAGCCATAGATTACCACAACCTAGATCTTAAAATAGCTAAAGAAGTAGGAGACAAGCATGGGGAGGGTGGTGCTTATAGCAATCTTGGCATTGCTTATCGCCGTCTTGGTGATTTCAAAAAAGCCATAGAGTACCACAACTTACATCTTCTAATAGCTAAAGAAGTAGGAGACAAATTCACGGAGGCAATGGCCTACTGTTTATTAGCTAGGGTTTTTGAGTTGCAAGGTAGACTGCCAAAAGCCGTTGAACATTACCAAGCTAGCATAAACTTATTCAATTCCTTGAGAGTACTTCTAATATCTAGAGATGAGTGGAAAGTTAATTTTCGAAATCAGCATCAAGTGGCGTATACGGGTTTGTGGAGAGTTCTCGTAGAGCAAGGTAATGTAGATGAAGCCTTATTTGTTGCTGAGAAAGGACGAGCTCAAGCTCTGACCGACCTCATGGAATCCAGTTTTTGTGGTGGAACAAGTCACCACAAGGGAGAAGATGAAGATTGCGCAGTTTTAAAAAAACGTTCCACCAAACACTGTCTTTCAGGCAGTGGACAAAGCTAACGTCTATCTTTGGGTTGGGTCCGAAGGAAAACAAGTTCAGTTAAGACAAAGTAAACTCAAAGGTTTTGTTTCAGAGAATAGTGGATCAAGCCTGTCCTTTGAGTCGTTCATGCTCGGTGTCTATACACAACTTGGTGTTGTTTTCTAATGTGAGATGCGAGAATCGATCTTTAGATGCTTTGAGGGAGGGCCGTTCAAAAGTGGATGAGAAAACCAAAGAAGCCAAGCCTCAACCTCACATCCAACAAGACGGATGCTTGAGCACTTTGTATGATATCGTTATGAAGCCGGTGGCTGACTTGATTGAAGGGGATGAGCTACTCATTATTCCTGATGGACCCTGTGGATCGCTCCTTACGCTGCATTGAAGGATGGTAATTCTAAATACCTGTGTGAGTCGTTCACAATCCGAGTCGCTCCATCGTTAGCAAGTCTTAGACTCATTGCCGATTGCCCAGATGATTATCACAAAAGCAGTGATGCGTTACTGGTAGGGGATCCGTGGATATCCGAGGTTACTAACAGCGAGGGAAAGAAAGTCTTGGAGCAACTTGAGTATGCTAAAGAAGAAGTAGAAATGATCGGAAAAATTCTGAATATCACGCCAATCACTGGCAGACAGGCCACGAAACGTGAGGTGTTGAAAAGACTCAGTTCCGTTTCCCTAGTTCACTTTGCGGCACACGGATGTATGGAAACTGGCGAAATTGCTCTTACACCTGACCCAGACCGAATATCTACTGTGCCAACGGAGGAGGATTACATTTTAACAATTGAGATGTGTTGAATGCTCAACTTCGGGCCAAACTTGTTGTGCTTAGTTGCTGCCACAGCGGCCGGGGCGAGATCAAGGCTGAAGGTGTGGTTGGCATTGCGCGCGCTTTTATGGGGCTGGTGCTCGGTCTATTGTGGTGTCCCTGTGGGCAATTGATGACGAGGCTACTCTTGAGTTCATGAAACACTTTTATCAACAACTTGCAGGAGGTAAACCAGCAAGCGAGTCACTGAACTTGGCCATGAAAAGCCTCAGAGAATCAGACAAGTTCTGCGACATCAAATACTGGGCGCCCTTTTTGCTGATTGGAGATGACGTCACTCTTGACTTCATGACAAAGGAAAGAGAAAATTTGAATATGAAATCACATAAATGAAAACTTTTTATTTCATCTCAAAATGAATGACGCAGGAACTT